AGAAGCGATAAGTTGAAAGTGCATATGCAAGCTCATAGCACTATGAAACTCCTTTTCAATTGAATTATGCAACCAAAGTTTCCTGAAGTGATTCCTCTTGAAATCAAACACAAAGAAAAAGAAACAGGTTATTTTATGAAATTAATGCCATACTTACTTATACTTCCAAATTACAATAAGAATAATTAAAGTAATTTATGAAAAACAGCCATACATACTTATACTTCCTTCCAAATTATAACAATGGTTGAAGTAATTTGTGAAAAAAAACTCTCTCCCTCTCTCTCTCCCCCTCTCTCTCTCTCTCTCTCTCTCTCTCTCTCTAAAAGTTCAAAAGTGTTTATTTTTATTGATGTGTTTTTACTACGTTGAGGTTAGTTTGAGTTCAACTTCTCTTTTTCGCTTTCAATAATAACAATATTCAAATAAATACGTGAATTTTGTTCAGTACGAAAAGAAATTTAACTAATTAGATGAAAATTAATTAAAATTAGTAAAAATTGAATATGAGACATTTATATAGTTTGATTGCTCAATATCGAACATTTCAATTTCTACATATAATTGCAGCAATTAAAAATGATCAAAAATCTTGCCATTGTCCGAGAAATAAGAAGGAAACAGGAAGTCATTTAATTTAATTGCAACGAATTTCGATTATCGTATTTCAATAATTAATTAATCATAAATAATGAATAAAATAAATTAGACTAAATTTGAATAATATTTAAAGTCACTGTTATGAAATTATAAAAGAGAAGAAAGAAAAATTTAAAGAATGAGAAAATTGTTGACATATATAATCGAAGTACCACAGTACCACTGATATTTTTGTAATTTATATCATTGAGAAATGTACATAACAAATTTTTTTCAATAACATTATCAAAACGTCACCCATATGAGTCAGTTATAATTTATCAAATTTGTCATTAGAAGTTGCAATTATTTTATAACACATTCACAATTTATAATGTTAACTTTTAATAATTCATTTAATTAACTTTCAAATTCATTTAATAATTCATTTAATTAACTTATTTAATAACACATTCACAATTTATAATTTTAACTTTTAATTAATTTGATTAACTATCAAAAAATTTTTTATAATATTTTACATTAGCATAAAATATAGCAATGATAAATCGAAGTTAACTTTTTCTTTTTTTTATAAAATATTATAAAGTAAATTATTTTATCATAATTTGATTATTGTTCTTTAATCATTGATTGATAAGCATAAATATTTTGCCGTAATTAAAATGAATAAATTAAAACAAAATACGTTTGAATGTATTGCAAACATCCATTCAAATATATCTTATCATACGTAAATATTATTTGTTTTAAAAAAAAAAAAAACAAAAATGATAAAAAGAAGTGAAATTGATTAGTCTTATTGATTATTTCCATTTTTATCACTGTGATAAACAGCGCTGATTTTCGCTCTTTATAATAAATTTTTGAGATCAAAAGGAAAAATTACACATAAAAATATACGTATCATTTTTATCTTCTGATTATTTATTTTCGAATCAAAAAAAAACATTGAAATTACAAAAGCGAAATAAAATCTGTCATTAATCGTTTATTTGAAGTGGCATCGATAAATAAATGAATTATCATTTGGAGAAGAATTAAATGAATAAGAAAACAATCAATTAACACTATTTCTTAGATTGATAATAGCGATATAATACGGCTTAGTAAATATTTATAATAATGAAAATACACCTGAGATTATCGTCATTTTACAACGGTAAATAATAATGTAATAATAATACATACATATAAATGTATTTGTCAAAATTAACTTAAAAATTATTCTTTTAATAGATTAATAATTTTAGAAAATTTACATGATATATATGGTAGAGTTATTTTGATAATAGTATGATAATTAAAAATATTATCAATTAACATATATTCTCACTCATTATATTTTATCCTTTTATCGAAATATTTTATTTTTAAATTTTTTGAAATTTATTAGTTAGTTATATAAATAATTTTAATAAACGGTTAATTTTGACAAATAATATTTGTTAATTATAAGTTCTTTTTTCTAATAATTAAATTAGTTGCTAAACATATGTAATGTAACGTTACTTCAAATTTAAATGACATAAACATTTCAAAATTTTCAATTAATTTTTAAATGCATTGAATTAATTAAATACAAAAAGATATGATATCTACAATAAGCATACATAAACATATCGATATATACAATTAAAGCTCCGATCGTTCTTCTTTTTCTTGATTTAATTTCAGTTTTCTTTTTTTTTTTTAAATTGACTATCAATAATTATAATTATTTAATTTATTGATTAATTTAATAAACAATACGAAACAGATAATCAAATAAAAAACAAAAGAAAAACATTTTGCGCTCTTATATATTATATTTTTCGATTCTATTCTTTCGCAGTCTTTACTTCTATAAAAAAGTTTCAATCTTTTCTAATTCATTTTAGGCAATAATTTTAAAATATAAAATGAAAAAAATAACCTCTCGGAAATTCTTAAAATTCTATAATTTTAATGATCAAAAACTTGAGATTTCAAATTGCATTACAATATATCATAAATAATTAAAACTACTTTAAACTCATTTCCTAATATCTCTTTCGTTTCAACTATCGATTATGATTTCTTCCGTGAACGAAATGATGTCCTTAAACGTGTCAATTCTTCGGAAAATATTTCACCACTTTGTAATGCCATAACTAATTGATCAAAGTCATTGTTATGATTATCGCGTTGTCGAGCTGAAATGATCGAATTCATTCATTGAAACAAAAATGAATGATAAATTAATGGATATATACGTATCATGATAAAGTATCATGATAAAATGTTTACAATAAAATTTTCAAAATTTTTTAAATTCCTAATTTAAAAATACAACAAATCAATTGTATTCTAAAAATTGAATTATTTGTGAAAGCAATTGAACTGTTTTTGTGAAAGAAATTTTTTTTCGAAATTTAAATTTTCGAAAAATTTTAAAAACAATTAAAATATCCTTCAAATTATGAAAATAAATTGTTTCTTTTTTGTTTCGAAATTTCTCTTTTGTTTTATCATTAAAGAAAAAAAGAGTGAAAAATAAAATTGTCACAAATAATTTGCATACATTTTTTAGAGAACATTGATCGTGCCATTGTTTGTTTTTTAATTCGTTCCAAATTTTCACGTTCCTCCCAAATATGACGATGGCATTCGGTTAGGGCAGTTAAAAATTTCGAAATTATACCAAAGAAATCATCCGGTGAAGTGGTTCGTGGTTCTTCCGCAAACATTCTCACACATAGCCGGAACTGAAATAATAAAAAATTGGTAATTATAAAGATAAGAAATCATTTCTCATTTTTATTGCCAGTATTATTATATATTATCCATCTCATTTATGATCCCATTATAATAATGTTCAATTTAGATTAAATTATTTCAAGATAGATATAAAACGGAAATAAAGCCAAGTTATAAATTATACAGCATATATATTATGTTATATATAAATTTATATATTTAAATAAGTATTAAAATAAATAAAAACGCGCAAAGTGCACACCTATCAAAAATGCCATATGCAAATTTTATTTTACTAATTTTAAAGCTTCACTTACTTTGTTATTCATTTCACCATATTGTTTTTCAACTTGTGCAAAATCATTTTCAGCAGAATTCAGGAAATTCTTCAACACTACTACAAAACGATCCACTTCCCGGTCACATTCGTTATCCCACATTTCCTGTCCATTTACTGATTCACTTACATGTAACGCTTCCGTTGCAATTGAGATTGATTTGCGTAATGCACAAAGTTCCTGTTCGATTTCTTTGCGACTGCAATATATGATATATGATGAATAACATTAATTATTCTTTAAATTATTAATTGATATCTGTCTATCACGCATAAACAGCATTCATAGATGATAGTATTAAAAAGAAGATTTGAAAAATTTTTATTAAATTTCTTAATGCTATCTTATTGCTGCAAAAGATGAATTAACAAATTATAACCTATGTCTAGCAGCCTGATAAACGCTTTCCAGGTCACGCTTTAGTCGTAACACATCTGATTTTTTATTTTCGATTTGCTCAACGACATAATGCAATAAATTACGATCGGAACGTAATGAATNATTAACAAATTATAACCTATGTCTAGCAGCCTGATAAACGCTTTCCAGGTCACGCTTTAGTCGTAACACATCTGATTTTTTATTTTCGATTTGCTCAACGACATAATGCAATAAATTACGATCGGAACGTAATGAATTTCGTACTTCCGTGAGTAATCGTAACGAAGTTAATGTAAATCCTACAAAAAATTATATCGCATGAAAATTACTTTCAAAAAATTGTGAAATAATATTAAGGAAGATGCTTTATTAATTTTGAATTTTCTAAGCAATACTAAATCATCCAGCGGTATTGCTCGAATCACTGCCGATAATTTTTATCACTCAATCAATAAAGTTCATATTTCAAATTTATTCTTAATTAAATAATTTTATTAAAATTTCATGACTAACCATAAGCATTTCCATTACGTTTCCCACGATTCAGGAAATTTCCCACTGCTAGAATCATACGTAACAATTGTCTTAAACGTTTGCTAGCTGTCACAGCTGTTGCAGCATTTGTTACAGCTAAAAATGGAAAAATAGTTAAGTAAAAACCCGAAAAGTAAGTTTTTGAAAATTTCCAAAATTTTTTTATAACTTTTTCTTTCTTGAAAGCGTAACCCACAACTTATAGTAATATTCACCAATATAATATTAATATCTTTCTTACTTACTTTCGACAGTATTCGAAACCTCATCAACACGTTCTCGATATGTACTAATAATATGCAAACAGCGTAATCGTTCTTCGTATCGTGGAACACTAAAAAAAACATGCTAACAGTTCTCTTTTTCAATATCGAGTTTTTCAATTTCATCAATTCCAATAATTTCTTAATTTAATAAAGTAACTGCTAGCAGAATAAATCCTGGGATCCCATTCCTTATCATCTTGACAGAATCCCATTCCATATCATCTTAATAGAATCCATTCCTTATCTTTAGCTACTATGATAACATTCAATTCAAAACTTCATTTGCATGAAATTCAAAAATAACTTCTAAATTTATCTAAAGATAAAGAAAGGAAAGAGAAAGAGAAGAAAAGTTTACTTGCTAATTTCATAAAAGAATCGATCGGCTACTGATAGTACGCCGGCAGTTTTGTACTTATCCACGATTTCGCGTAATTTTAGAATTTCTTCTTTGGTCGGCAAAAATTTCAACATCTAAAAATAAAACCTTTAGAGTAACTGATTACACCTATTTCATCTAATTAATTTTAAGCCATATGAAGAACAAAAACACTTGGAAATTATCATAAAAAGCATAGATTAATTAAATATCGTAGTGTATGCCATTTTCTTTTGTCGGAAAAGAGAGAAAATTGAAAAACTAAAACTCTTATAATAACTTTTCTTAATTTTCTTACAGTAACCATTGGTCAACAATGAAAGTTGTAATTATTTAAAATATTAATTATTATCAAATTTTATGAATTAAAAAAAGGTAAAATTACTCCATGACATTAACAAATATTACCATAATTTCCATAGGTTTTCTTTGTTTTTGCATATTATTAGAAACATTATTCGACATTTATTCTAATTAATATGCAATCAAATTAGAACAGTAATTAAAAAGAAAATTGCCGAATATATAACGATGCACTCATCGTAAAAGCGAAAAGATTAAACTTAAAGTGGTAGACGACGAATGAATTCAAAAGTAGTATAGTATATCTATCTGTATGAATATTTAATATTATAATGCTTTGGTAAATCAGCAAATAATAAATCTCAAAAATCGTAATATAATATAATTGAACTTGTAAAAAAAGGAACAGCAGTAATTGATCATACTTGTTCGATCATGTCACGTGGTAATTCGTCGTATTGATCCATTGATAAAACGGCACTTTTAATTTGTTTATTTGATAATCGAAGTTTTGATAGCATAATTGTGCAATTTTGTGCACGGCGTGGTTCAATGATAGAAATGGATGTTTCTGCACGATACTGCCGACGTATTGTTTCACTTAATGATTCCGTTTCATCTACTGATATTTTGCTAATTGAAAAATTCTGTGCAATATCTTCGAGATCTAACTGGAAAGTATCGAAGTTTTGCTCAAATTCAAGACAATTCGTACAAAATGTAAATATTCGTTTGTTCATAAATCAATAAATCATTTGTAAACCATTAAATTATTTTCAGTGTATTAACAAATTGTATAATATATTACTAATTCTATAATTTTTATGTAGTTGGATGTGACTATCGTATTGCATAATATGAATGATGATAAAAAATTGAACCATAACAAGAGAAAGTCTCTGACCTGTTGGTACAATTTTTCCTCATCGATATTCTCCCAGATGGTACCAAAAATTTTCTCTTTCGGAATCATAATCCAATTAAGCGTTTTCAATTTCATTGTTGATTCCGGTATTTTTTTCATTTTTTCATTCGTATCAATTGTTTCTGTTGCTATTCGGCCATTTTGCATGCTAAGTTGTAATAATGATGGTGGTGGTGGTGGTGGAGGTAAGAGTGGTGGACATACCGGTGGTACCGAAGATGATGATGGACTTGGTGATTGCGATGGATCAGATGGAAACGTCGAATCTGTCGAATCGGCGCTCGTTCTAAGATTTATATATTAACTTTCTACTTTGCCGGTATAATTTTTCGAAATTATTTGTTAGATTTTAAGTGCATGAAGAAAACTTAAAAAAAATCAGTTTAATTAAATCAATGTCAAGATATGAAATTCACAAAGGAATGTAACAGCAAAATATAAAAAATTAAGACAAAAATTAAATAAAGTTAAGAAATACAATTAATCTCAATTTCCAGCGATAATTTTAATTAATGTCTATTTTTCAAATAGTTGTTGCTATACCTGGAATAAATAGAACGCATGTCGCAATCAGCAAGACGACTTCGCAATTCAACCATATTCATTCGCTCTCTTCGCAATTCTTCCTCCAATTCGTTATACATTTTTTCAAGATTATCATATTCATGTTGTGTATGTAATCTAAAATTTAACCATTGCATGATATTTAAATTATTTAAAGCCTTTTAACTGTTAATAATAATATGTACAAACAAAATAAAATTACCTTTTTTAATTTTCAAGCCTAAAATACCTTTTTCAACCTAAGGGCCGTAAGTATAAAATTTCTGTTTACCAAACATCATAAAAGGTATTAGTCATTTGTAAATTTGCAACAACCATAATTATATTTTGATCCGTTACTCATTGAATTTATTTAGTCAACCAGATTAATAGAAAATTATTTATCGAATTTTATTTGTTCATTCAGATTTTTCGTTTAAGAAATTATCAATCAAATTTTATTTGCTCAATTAGACAATAGAAAATTTCCTAATAAATTGTTCGAAAATACCTGGATAAAACTTTATTCATATCTATACTAACAATAGGCTGTTGCATATCAGTACAAACATCCATTTTCGCTTGTAAAACCAGTTGCTGTAGTACAATATCGAGTAATCTGAAAATTTGATAAAGTAATTAGTATTAATGAATCAAAAAAATGGCAAATCTATCAATGGAAAAAACTAAAATATTAATTATAAAATGGGAAATAAGATGGCAATTAATATTTTTGAAGAATCAACGAAAACGAAGGAAATAAACAAATATTGTTATTGTTTTGCTATCGTATCTAAAAATTGGATTAATGTTAGGTAACATGAAAAAGCATGTGATTTCATTGTTTATTTCAATTTTTAATTAAATAAAAGGAGGATAATTTAGGTTGAGTTGACCTCCATATATGGACATGTTTATTATCGGTTGGAACAAGAACAAGATGCTGCAAAATAGAAATAAAATGAGGCATTGCAATGGTATTATTCAATCGTTCCATTAATATATCAACAATATCTGTTGGATTTTCTGCATCAATTGGTGTTGATGTTCCTGAATCGCTCCTGAAATTTTATCCAAATTACAATTTCTCTTTTTGGCTACAAAGAATTAGAAATAAGTCGGTACGAATTACTGCAATTAATGTTTAGCACAATTTCTCCATTTTTCTATATTTAATATTGCTTATTATCACTATCATTTATATATTCGAAGATCCTAAATTAATTGATATCAAAGAAATCTAATTCCCTGTTTATTAAATAATTTAAAAAATTTTTCAGTTGATTACTAATATTTTATTAGTGATCATTTATAAAATAAAATTTGTTTATTTACTCACTTATTTTTCCTTGTCTTTTCTTTGCCCTTATTTTAAGAAACGATTTTCTCATTTCTATTTATGGATAAAGGAAAATGATACCAGTAAGTATCATTAAGTTGTTGATAAGACAATAAAATAATTACATCGTAAATTTTGGTTTATTTGATAGAAAAACCAATTTTGCATTCTTCAATTTGGTTCCTATCTAATTATTTTAATTTGATTTTCATCTAATTATGGTTGATAAATATATTGACATTTTGTAATTTTTTGTCACTTTAAAGGAATATAATACCAAAAAGAATACAAATTAATTAAATACAAATTAGATAGAAATGTAAAATTAAAATATCAGAAAGATCAAGTTAGAAAATAAATAATTATAATAAATCATTTTGAAAATTTAAATAAGAACCAAAAGGAACTAATCGCAAATATATATTATCTAAGTAAAATCTTGCATTGTTATTTCATTATTAGAATGATTTTAGTTCATCAATTATTAGATTAGTATAATTAAAAAGCGAATTATTTTAATATTACCTGGCAAAATGAAGCTCATCCTCTTGTTGACTCATTTCAAACAAATCAAAATGATCATCCAAAACGGCGGATGATGTTGTACGAAGTTGTTCCAAAATATTATGTAAGCCTAACATTAATAGTTCAAACCGTAAATGCATACGAAATTCCAATGAATTCTGTAAAGTTTTTAATTAAAATAATAAAAGAAAAATTGAAATAAAATTTTAATTAGTAAAAATTTTTAATTAAATTATGCTAAATTTAAAAACAAAAAGAATTTTTAGGAATGAAATTTGAAAGAATTTTTCAACTTTTCTTATATTACACTTTCGAAAATGCTGCCATGAAAATTGCTTAATTACATTTGGTTGTACCAACAAAGAAAACAAATATCGTTTCAACGCTGTCATCAATCAGAAATGTTCTTATGTGATAATTAACAAACAATGAAAGAAAAAGTTGTTAGGAAAACAAAAAGGAAATAAATCTTTCCAAAAAATTTCATTTTTTTCTTTGAGAATAATAATTTATAAATAAATTTCTAAAACAATAGATGGCTTAATTTAATTAATTTAATTAAAAAAAAAAAGTAAATATTTAAGGTTTATTAGTAAACAAATTAATTTGACTAAAATAAAAAAAATTTCCATAAAAAATGTTCAAAAAAGCAATTCGTTAAAGGATATCAATTGATCAGTTTCAAGCAACAACTTCGATTGAGAAAATAGTATGATTAAACACTTTACGCTTAAATTTCTGACAGCTGACAGTTGTTTTGATAAAAATTATCAATTTTCTAGATTTTGCAAGAAAAAAAGTGAGAAAAAAAAATGATATAAAATATTATTTACATCTAACAATAATTTCACTGTTTTACTTCTCCCACATTTTCATATTATTTTCAAGCTTTTTTTTTCTCAAGAAAAAGAAAGCTTATCTTTCAATTTCAATCTTTTCTTATCAGTTTGTTAAGCTTATTTTTGAATTCAAAATATGGTTCATCATCAAAATATCACAAATACTATCATTTAATAATACAACTTCGCTAAAGATGATAATTTCAAATGTTACACATCAAAGTTTGTTTATTTCAATTTAAAATTAGCATAATTTAAAATAGTTTTCTCATTATCGTAATCCAAGTTGAAATATTTCGATTTGGCAATATAAATATATTTTCTTTTTTTTTTTAATTCGATAAAATTTCAACGATGAATAACAAAAACATGTTTATTTTCAACTGTTCTAAATCGTCAAATGAAATTTTTAAAAGTTTAAGCTAAAATGTTAATGATTGAAATAAATAAATGATAATAGTATGAAGAAAAAAAAGAAAAAATTATTTTTACACAATGATGCTAGCTTATAGCCAGCTAAGCAGAATATAATTTTATCATCCATTTATCCATGCAATGAAATGAATTGAAATGATTATTATATCAATGATATTATAATCATTCTCTGATAACAAATACATCTTATCATTCATTTCATCTTTTAGTTAATGATTTTGTTGTCTTTTTTTTTTTGTTCTGCTTTTGGAAAGTTTTAATTATATGAAATATAAACCGGTTTTATACCGGAAATTGCTTTAAAAGATAGTTATAGACAATATTAAACTTATTCATTGGCAAGTTTTTAATTTTTGTCTTACCTTTTTTTCATCGTATTTAGCACTTCTCATTCGTTAAAACAATAGTAAAATATAATGAAAATTAAATGGTTTTCAAGTAGAAGATCTGTTTTTCTTTCGTCAATATTTTTCTCATAAATAATACAATTTTGTAAATATTTGATTGGAAAAATAACTTCCTATTAATTTAATAAAATTATCAGAAATTTTACTAATTAAATTAGAAAATTAATTTAACAATAAAAACATACATAATTTCTTAAGTTTTAAAATTGTTATCAAATTTTGGCAATATTGAATAAAATGAAATAAATACTTCAGCAGAGCCAGTGCTTAGTAATGCGTTAACTAAGCTCATTGCAGCCGTACGTACTCGGTCTGTTTCACGATCGTTGCTATAATTTCGATAAATATCATCGACCAATCGCTGAAATCTCGTCCTTTCTCCAAGGATTCCACGTGCTTCCGTTATTGCATGCAGTACTTTTTGATGTCCATTAGGTATCAAACAAATACCCGCTAATATTTCATAACACAATACCTATAATTTAATTCAAATAATTACATCAAATGCATAGCGGTTTATTTAAAGTTTAATCAACCGTAATGTGAAATATCAAAAATTGAAAACAAGTTTATTATCATAATTTAAATATTGATAGCTAAGATTTCTACAATTATTTAGAATGAAAATAAAGGCAGTAGTAGTAAAACTAGGCCCGGTCTTTTATTCTTATTGCTATTTTAGCCTATGTAATATGATTTGAAATCGTTAGAAGCATTGATATATAGTTTAAAATGTGATTATAAGAAAGAGTAAGAAATTAATACAATACTTCTGAACTAATCAATAATTTATACTTCTTTTGTTTTGATTAATTTAATTTAAAAGAGATTTGACAAAAAATTAATTTCGATATTCATTTCATGAATAGTAGTCGTAAAATAATCAAATATTTTGTAATTTTGTTAATTTTACGAATTTATTTAGTTAATTGTTCAAAACTTGCTGGCAACAAAATGAAGAAAAGTTTACGATAAGCTAGATTTATTCATTTAAGAACAAATAATAATTAACAATTTTAATTAACATCATATAGCAATAGGAAAAGAGCTGAAAGGAATGAATAATATTTTCAAAGTTTTATCAAAAATTTTATTTATTCGAAATTGTCATGCAATTAAAGCGTACTGTCGGAAGGACAACAATCGATCAGAAATGATCGAATGAACAATTTATTTATTATATATATATATATAGTTTTTTTGAAATGATCAAAGAGTGAATGGGAATAGATGGCAAAGTAATTATAATAATTAAAAAAAAAAGGGCAAAATGGAAAAATAAATGGGACAAAAGCGCTTAGAATACAAACAAATAAATGCGACAAAAGCGCTTAGAATATAAACAAATATTTTGTTTTATTTATTTTCATTTCTTTTCTGTTTAAAATAATGAAAATATCTTATTAATTAACAATTTCAACGAAACAAATGGGATTTTTATCACTTTTTAAAAATTTACGACAACGAATAAAAGTAAAAGAGAAACAGAGAGGAAGAGATGACAAATTACATTTAATTATCAAATTGTTTGAATGATGAGAGAATGAAGTGGAAAAAAAAGAAATCAATGATTGTGTTGTGATAATCATTGATTATATTAGTGAATATAAGGACAAAAAATAATTATTTATTATAATTAATTTAATTATTCATCTTTATTTATTTATTTATTTATTTACAATAAGTGTGTAAATAAATATATGCTTATTGTAAATAAATAAATGAATAAACATGAATTAAATTATTACTATCCGAATGAAATTGTATAACAAAAAATTTTGCGATAAAATTTAAAATGAAAAAATGAAATAAAAATTAGAAAGCAAATAATTGAAATGCATATGATAGAGAATAATTAATGGAAAAACCAAAAGAAATCTCTTCGTTGAATAGCAAAATGTTTATAGTTAAATGTGATCCAATCGTAATAGTAATACTAATAATTACTATCCTAAATGATAATTATATTAACGATGATGATATGGCTGCAAAAGTAGAAGGTCACAACCATATCGCTCCTCGTTGAAAATTTTAACATTCATTCTCTATGTAACAACCTTAATTTGAAATTATCAAAATTAAAATTTCTATTCAACGATCAATTTTTGGTAACTACCAAATAATAGAATAAAATAAATTTTGAAACATTTGTTAGTGCAAAAGTTTTAGGTTATCTTATATATATTCTAATAATAAATAATAAAAATTCTAATAAAATATTAAAATTTATAATAAATAAAATTTCTAATAAAATAAAATAATATTATAATTCAAAAATAAGATATTGAGGAAAAGTTTAAATTATAGCTAATTTAATCCAAAATTTTGGAAATCATTTATCGATGATAAGTTTTTTTATTTTATATTATAAAGTATAATATTTCATAACAAATAATAATATGTTTACATTTAAAGTTTCCTTTGTCTAAAATTTCATTACCTTAGATTTTTTTATGTTATCATATATTTTATATCATAAAGCACAATATTTCATCACAAATTTTTATTATCTTTTAAATCTTTTATTTCAATATTATTATATTTATTATATGCTCTAACTAATTAATTAATTAATTAATTGATCGATATTATCGTGTTAAATTTCTGATTAAAAATTTATTTTAGCAATATCATATAATGTTTTACAAAAGCGCTTATTTATTATCATAAAAAATGAGGAAAAAAGAAATAATGAAGAAAAGGAAGAGAATATTATCAATAGGCTTGCTTAGCTGTAAGTAAAATAATCAATCATTTATAATCGCTCCAATTTTCCTCAAACATTTGAAGTTATCGCTGAAATTATTTCCAAATGAAGAAAGAAGAGATGTAAACAATCAATAATATAAAATATCTCTTTCAAAACAAAAATTTAAAAAAAAAAACATTTTTCATAAAAATTTTTCACACAAATTTTTCTTTGGCTTATTTTGCAAATAATATTGAAAATGAAAATGAATGAGCTAAAAATTGAGCCAAAATTGATTTGAGCCAAAACATTTGGCTGAAATAATTTTCTTAATTTTTTTCCTCAAGCTCATTTCCTAAAATAATAGTATGTTTACATAAAGTTTCCTTTGGCTAAAATTTCATTATCTTTTGATTTTATTAATATTTGAAAAAAGTGAAAATTTTAGGCTAAAAAAAAAAGCCCATAAAATGTTGCAAAATTAAATATGCAATACTTAAATTATAAATTATCAGAGAGAGATTTCCGGATAATTTCGTATGAAATTTCGTAGAGATAATTTCGTAGAGAGATTTCCGGATAATTTCGTATGATGATATTATCACATCCGAACTATTTTCGGAATAAAAAATCTGATCCAAAGATTGTAAACAAAAATTTATGATTCATTTAAGCTAAGAAATATGAGAATATATTTAAAAATTTAAAAAACTTTATACAATTTCATTACGTTTCATTTGCTTATTTTATGAAATTTTAGAACAAAAGGTGCAAATTTAGACAAAACCATAATTAGGAACAAATTTAATTAATTATCATTTATTTTATGAGAACAACTTTCTGCTACAGCTTTTTATTTGTTTACAATTTGTTTACTTATAAAATTAATTTCTACAAAAAGCATTAAGAGATTTTTTTCTGTGCAAATAAAATGATAACTATCACAACAATGAAGAAAAGATATTTGGGATGGAAACTTAACAAAAATTTTTGAACTTTACCCTTTTATTTTCTTTTTGTTCAAGCCGATAAGCCTGGAATAAAAAAACACAAATAAACAAAGCATTTTCACTGATAATATCATTATGATTATCTACAAATTAAATATGAAAGAGGAATATTTTGAAGAAATTTTTCCAGCCCATTTATCCTTTCGGAAATTTTGTTTTTTAACATAAAAATTTCTCATAAAAGATTTTGGAAAAAGAAATGAGTGAAATAATAGTTGGAAAAAAAATAATAGGATATTATATATAATAAATATATGTTATATAATTGTAAATAATTATAGGAAAGTTTATAATTGTTAATAATTACAGTCATATGTTTAGTTTGCATCGTTGTTAATTTGAAATAAAAATTTTCATATTTGCAAAAACAATTAAGAAAAATCTAAAGTTAACATAACTGAAATTGTTGGTACCATAAATGAAATTTGATGGTATCATTAATAAATTTTGATGGTACCCATTAGCAGCAATAATATGAGTGAATGGATTGAGAAAGATCATTACAATTTATTTATCAAATAATCTCTATAAAACAAATTTTGGGTTAAAAATTACGAAATGATACATTCATCAAAAGAAATGGGAAAGTGGAAATAATGGATTATTTGATTCTCAACAAAAAATTTCAGTTTCTATTTTCTTTTAAACATTCATTTCTCCATCAGATATATATATATATATTCCCAATGCAATCAGAATTTTTTAGTCTTTTTTTAAAGTTTCATTTATTCAATTAAAAAAATGGTAATTCAATTTTTTTCATAAATTTTTAAATCATTTGAAAATTCGAGAAGAGAAATAAATGAGTCTGTCAATTAAATTTTTCGATACATTTATTCGTTGCACTGCGTATAATAAACAATTTGATTAAAAGATATCAAATCTTTCCAATCATTCATTTAAATTAATTAATTAATTAGCATAACATAACATAACAAGAACTTAACTGATAAATAAACAAATTAATTGAGAATTTTGAAATAAAAAGAAAAGAGGAAAAATATGAATGATATTTGTGATTTGCTTGTTTACTTTAATTATGTAATTAAAGTAAACAAACAAATCACTTAATGTTTGCATTTCAACTTTTTTCCTTCCTTTCATATAATTGTTTATGTCTAATCAAACAATGATCATTTCTAATTTCTATCAAAATATTTGGCTAATTTTATTGATTGAAAGTGAGAGAAATAAGGAAGAAGAATTTGGCTGATTTACATTCCAATTATTATTATTACAACAACTGCATAATGATGGACATTACGATGACCTTATATCAAAATTTTCATAGTATCCATTCACCCACTCATTAATCTTTTATAATTGAGAATTTGACTATCAAAAGAGTTTTAGGAAAGAATACAAATAAAAGAAGAAATAAAAAGAAAACTAAAAAACGATAATTTCAGTTAAGAATGGATAATTTTAAATGTTTAATTTTGAAATCATTGAAAATCATTAATTCCAATATTTACATATGTTTATGTATTTGAGATGTAAACAAATAAAATACTGTAAAAAATAAAAAATCAAAACTAAAATATCAAAATAACTGAAAAAGCTAATGTATTATAATGGAATATTACTGCAATGATCATACACCTACGTACTAACCAATTACCTAATCGCCAATTAATTAGTTCACCAAATAATTAGAAATTAATTACAAATATAGGTATGTTAACTTATTTGTACAGTTATAATAGGTGGAAAAAATTAAACTTCGAATATTTCTATTTTAATTTCAGTTATTTTTATTTTTTTAAAAGCTTGTATATTTCAAAATTTTGAAAGAAACATGAACACTTTTCATTCTGACAATTTTTTTATCTTTCTTGTCCCAATACTAATTATCATTAAATAATTAATCTAATTATCATTTCTTCCCTTTCTTAATTATTGAATGATCACTTTATTCGGAAATATTTACTACTGCACTAAAAAATTACTCCGAGATCAGTGATAAGTTCAAGAGTTAAGAAAGGCTATTATTGTCAACTGTCAATTGGATCTTTATTATATGTAATAAAATCTTTCTTAAATAATTTGAAAAGCTCAAGTGAAATAAGTTTTAAAAAAAGATATAACCTTGCATTTAGCACTCAGAAGAGAGGTGGACGATGCAATGGCACAAAGTGTCTCATCTGACGATAGAACAGCCAATCGGCCAACCTGAAGAAATTTCGTGTTAATTTAATTATGTTTAATTACCGATCTTTTTTTTTTTGATTTTTGATTTTTCAAACTACATCGTTGCAATTTAAAGACAATATTTCGGTTAAAAACTTTCGATAAAAAAACATGCAATAATTAATTCAATAATTAAAGTGTATTGTTTTAAATTTGTCACAAAAATGGTATTTCAACCGGAAAACATATCTTTATCGTTGTTGTCGAAGATTACAAAGACTAAAAAACTGAGCAAAATTCTTGAATTCTTTGCTAATTTTCTTTTTTGAAAAATTTAATTAAAATTTTTTTTAGTGTATAAAAATTAATTGCATATTCGTTTTTATAAATGAGTAAATCAGAAATCTCAATTGAGGAATACAGTTGAATTCAGAAGAGCTCGAAAGCATAGCAGTATTATAGCTGCATGTTGTTCCAGTCCGGATCGTTTTCGACATTCTCTCAGCAAATTTCTTAAATGACCATCGCCATTTAATTTCACGAAATTTTCCACATAACTATAATAATTTAATAAAATTCAAAAAATTAAAAGAGCAGAATTTAAAATCTTTTCCGGATTACTAAATACATTTAAACAACTGCTGAAACATATTCCGCAATGCATAATTTTTGGTGTAAGGATTTTTTTTAATAAATTAATTATTAGCTAATTAATAATTTGCTATATCATACCAGCAAACATCTCTCTGAGCGAAAGGTTTCATATTATAATTAACAGTAATTTAGTTAGAAACTCATAAGATACCAGATATTTGAAATTTTAATCAAATTAAAAATCTGCAAAAATCTTTTAAAGAATTTAACATTTACAAATAATTGGATTACCTGTGTGATTGCGTTCTCAGCGAGATAAACAACGCTTTCAGAATATGAAGATTACTATCATTGCTTAATAAATTATTATCCTGAATTATTTCCAAAAATTTCTCCGCTATTTTACCATTACCTATGCCATACATTTCCTATAACAATATTTAAAATGTAAAAATTAGTAAATTCAAAATTTATTTATAAAATAAAATTTGAAAAATAATGCAGAAATTTTATGCGATATACAACATGCCTAAGTCATTTGGCATTATTATTTCGAAATCAAACTATATATTACATCAAAGGTAGAAATACTTGTTTTCATTGTTTTAATTATTTTAAATATGATCGCATAATTATTGGAAGAATAGTTATTGAATATCGCATAGTTATTGAATGCTATTAATAAATAAGTAGTAAAAAAAATCGATTTCTGCCTTTTACTTAAAAATATATTTTACTTAAAAATTTAAATATATTTACTTGTATAGCAGTTTGTTCTTTAAGCATTAGGCATTTCTTTTCAATAGGCTGTTCGAGCAGTAATTTCTGATTTTCGGGTGATAAATCCAACTCTGCCTGAATAACTAATAGCCTACCAAGTTTAAATTAACACATCAACTTGACATATAATTCATATTAACCGATTTCTTCAAATTTTTTAACTATTCAATATTCAGAAAAAGAAGCAGATATTATAGTGTAAAAAAAGCAAGTTAAATATCACGAATTAAAAATAATAAAACTTAGAATTTTCTGAATTTCATATTACTTTTTTATTTCTTTTATTTAGTAAAAAATATACCAGAAGTCTCGGGAATGCAACATCCACTTCATGCTTATCAAGATTGGCTGCATCCAATGTAAAAACCAAATGATGCAGTGGATCCGGTTTGAAAATATATTTCTCAATATGAACTTTCTCTTCATCTATATCATTCGATCTGATTCGATTAAAACAACACAGCACTTGATCTACTATCATTGCTACAAATAAAATATTTTAGTAAAAAAGAAACAAATATTTATCTGATGAATGAATTGGAATTATACAAAATCGATTAATTCAAGTGCAACCAACGATTATCGAAAAATAAGTGTATATAAAATAAGAAATAGCTAATGAATCAATCAATATATCTTATTATAGTAGAAATTTGTGAAGAGCCAAATGAATTAACATTGGATAATTTAAAATCAAAAAAGAAATTAACAATAATAAAATTAATTTAAAACTTTTTGTTGCTCTAAAATTTTTAACGCTTAAAAGTTTTAGCGAAGTAATTAGCACTTTTTTGGGTTAGCATTTAATTGAAAATAACAAATAATTTCTTTGAAAGAATTTTGGTTGGTATAATTGCAAAAATGGAAATTGTTTGGGAAACAATTATGAGAGCTATTTTATATGCAAAAAAGTTATGGTATATGTGGTAAGAAATAATTGTTAGTGACAGTACAATGATAAAAAGCATAAATAAATCACTAAGAATAAATGATTATCAGTGAGGGGAAGTAATGGTAAACAGTATTGTTTACTAATGGTATAAACAGTAAATTTAGAGTTGACGTTTACTCAACTTCTCAAATCCTTTTGTGAGGCTAAGGCTGTCTACATTTTCCATTTGGAATTTGTTGAATAAATTTGACAATTAAATGATTTGCCAAAGAATTGAAAGATCACTGAGAAGAATGAAGAAAAAAAGTAGGAATTGTTAAGAGGAAGGAGAAAATGTGATTAAAAGAAGGAAAAAGTTATTATTATCAATTGAATGATTGATATAATCTTCGTATATTTCAAATTCAAAGCTGTGAAATTTTGCTGCTTTAATGTTTAAATTTGAAGATATTACTGATGAAAATTTATTATTACTTTTTCTTCCAGCAGAAATTATTGTTTATAAATTTGCTGAAATTAATGGATCAATAATTAACAAATACAATATTTATTTATTCACCAACAAGTTGAATGCACAACTGAATTCAATTATTCGTTAGCAAATTTTTGAAAATTTCATTGCTGAATTTCTTTTCTATTATTGTAATTAATATTTACGATATACTTTTTTGTATGAAGCAGAAAACAATTGTTTATATTATGCTAAATTTTAAATGATGGAATAATGGATTTGATATAGCAATTATTAATTAGATCGCTTAATATATTAATGATACAATTATTGGAATTATTGGATTAAATTATTATTATTATTATTATTAGTATTATTATTATTATTATTATTATTATTATTATTATTATTATTATAAAACGGCAAAATGATTGAAATGGAATCAGTTAAAACCGAAAAGAAAATAAACAAAGCAAAATTTAATGAGCAACAAATTAATGAATTTAATAAAGGTATCATTTAAAAAAGTATGGATTTATAAATTCAATATTCTGGATTCATTTTACAATTCTCATCAATTATATATGTTAGCGTTTTGTTGTTACATTAAAAATTTGAAATGAAATATTAATTATTCAAACTGAAATACGATGTTACTTTTTGGGATATTCGATTGTCCAAAATTACTTCCAATAATAATATTATTATGTAAATAAATCATAGCAATAGTAAAATACGAATTAGTTTTGGCCAATTTAAAATAATTTTACAAATACAAATTATGGAAAAGTTCAATCAATTATTTTTTGATATCATCCGGCTGATATCGTTGTGGTAAATTATTCTTCTATCGTTGTGGTAAATTTGATTTAACTATTGGAAACCTTCTATCTCATACTACTGAATTAATTAATTCAAAGTAATTTATCGAAACAATAGTAAAAATGATAATTAAAAAAGGTTTCCAAGAAATTTTTGAGATTAAAATATTTCAATAAATCATTGAAATATCAATAAATCATTTATGTTGTTAAATTTTTAAAAGGAATTGCAAATTCAAAAGTATAAATTTTGGATTGTATTAGAAGCGAAAAGTTTATAGAGATTCATTTAATGGATAATATTATGCAAATAGGAATATATTATTATGTAAACAAATTGTAACAATATCAAAATTGATTTTAGTCCATTTAGGATAAGTTCATATAATACAAACTATTCGATGAAATGATATCCTTTACGACAATTCAAACTTATTACTGTAGTAAATTTTGCAAAACGTTGTAGGAAAATTTTATAAAATAGTGATACATACAAAGTAATAAATACACTAATAACTGCAAGCGATTAGAAATATAAATTTAAAAATTAAATAATTAAAAAAGAAATAGCAAAAATGATTTTCAATATTTATAAGAGAATTTTTGTCAAAAGGCGACAAAATTCTCTTCCGTATCGTTTTTATAAAATATCCCTTAAACTAATTTTATTTTACCAATGAATTATAAATAAGTGGAAGATATTTGACAATCACATCTTAATTTCTTCCTCCTCAAACCTTTTTAAAATATGAATTTAAATCTATATTTTGAAGTTTTCTGTTGAAAGAATTTAACCATCTTTAATGATACGTTATAACTTATTTTTAATCGAAATTAACGGAACGGATTTATAACAAGTTTGATCGGCTTCACTCCAATCGAATTAAGTCCATCTAATCCATTTGTCCAATTAAAGTCATTTTAGTGAAATCTAAATAATTTTATTTTGTGTTAATTTATCAAGCATAGTGAAAACGAGATAATAATGAATATCTAAGATCAGATGTAACTTCATTATTTGGAAATTAAAAAAAAAACTTCGCTACCAGTATTGAAGCAGATAGCTTTATATCATTGTCATATTATCGTTACTTGTTGTAAAGCTGTGACAAATCTCTTTAAATCTCAACACTTCATCTGATACGATTAAATTTGCTTTCGATTTTTAAAAATAAATACAAAAATAGTTGTACTTGCAAATGCTCACAAAAATTCTTCTACTAATACATAAAATAAATAAATAGAAAACAATTTCTAAAAGATAATTATTTGCTGCTGACAGCTACACATTAATGGAAATGAATCTTTTATCAATTTATTTGATATGATATGAGTGATATGGAATGTTATGCAAACAAACTTAAATTGACAATAAGGCGATGACATTACAAATATATTTTTGTAATCATAAAAAATTATGAATAAATAAAAAAGAAAAGTTAATCGCAATCGAAATATTTTGTGTTCAATTTATTAGTGAGAAAAAGATTTCTACAATAATTCAATGATTTATAATATTGAAAAAGTGAAATTTAGGTTCGTACTTTTTGACATAATTATAAAATCATAGCTTTTTTTTAATTACTAAAATTATTAAACAAAAGGAAAAATATGTCGAAAATTGTGGAAAAAAAAATATTCTTTTATTTTGTGCTAAAAGTAAAAGGACGAAATTTATCATTCAAACTAAATTATCATTTATTTTCTTTCTCATTTTTTTATACATTTAAAACTTAAAATTTATTAAGAGTAAAGGTGGAAGAAGAAGGAAACGAACTAATAATATTAAGGTAATTGGATACTAATGAAAATTAATATCACTTCAACTTTCTTCATTTTATTCCTTCCTCTTTATAACTTTCATTTTTCATATTTGTTTCTATCGTCTACAATTGTTCAAAATTAAATTTATAGAAGAAAAGAAAAATTGAAATTAAATATCTAACTCATTTTCATTTTGCAAATATTCCATTATCACTAATCACTAATGATATCAGTTGATATGTTAAATGAATGTAAAAATAGGAAATCCATTCACTTTCATTTTCAAATATCCATTTCAAATGTTAAAAAATATTTAAATAAATAATGAAAAAATAAATTGAGCGCAATTTAATTTTATATTTATTGTAATTATGCAATAATAATATAATTTATTCCATTGTTTATTAATTACTAATTATTTATATACGCCGAAAATTCTTAATATGCATACATTAAATTATAATCATTAAAAAAAGCTGACGAAGAAAAGTGTTAAAAAAAACAAATGGCAAAATAAGAAAGCGTAAAATAAAACTTTATTTTAAATATTGAAATGAAGATGGAATAACAGACTATTCCACTGCTTGCTATTTCACATAACTTTTAGAATGATAGTTTGCAATGATAACTTATGATATCAGTAATGCAAAACATAGTGATGAAGCGTAAACTGATGTGATCGTATATGAGGAAATTAATCAGAAAAGCTAACAGATTTAAGCAATGATGAAAAGCATTTATTTAATTTATAAATACATCTAATAATTATTAATTAATTAATGTACAATCAACCAACAATATTTTCCTATTTAAAGTAATAACTAGAAAACACAATTAAAAAATAAGCGAAATTAAAAGATAAAGCAAAGTGATAATGTAAATGAGAGAAAAAGGTGAAGTAAAGTAAACTTTATCAAATATTACTTCAAAATATCAAAAAATTTTTTGAAGCATATAGCTTTGCTGACAGTCCAAATGAGAGATGAATTAAAATTTAAACGAGGAAGAGAAAGAAAGGATTATAATCAATGATAAATAAATAAACAAATCAGATTGAACAAGCAAGCTTATCTAACTATCCTTTTCATCTTTTCTCTCTTCTTTTCATTTATCTTATTAACCAATACGATAGTTCCGTACTTGAAGTTTCCAATTCATACAGGTATATGGAATGAAATAAAAAACTTTTTAATTTAAATCAAATATATATGTGAATGTGTGTGTGTATGTGTGTGTGTGTGTGTGTGTGTGTTTGTGTGTGTGTGTGTGTGTGTGTAAGACATACGCAGAAAATTCTCAATTTAACGATGCCCAAATTATCTGAACGAATTATAAATATACAAAGATTAGTTACCGGAAGATCGATAAGGAAAATGATTTTTGGAAAGAATCGAAAATCGAAAAGGAAACTATTAGACTAACTTTTGGAACTATTTAGAATATTCATAATATTGAAATTTATATTCGAAATAATTAATTTGGAATTATTTATAAACAATATTATATAAAACTTTGGAATAATTCAATGAAAATTTGTTTCTAAAAATTTAAAG